CTGCTAACCCCGAGGTCAGCAGTTTGAAACCACCAGCCACTCCAGGAGACAAACAGGAGGCTTTCTACTCCCATAAAGAGTGTCAGTCTCGGAAACCCGCAAGCGCAGTTGTGTCCTGCCCTACAGGGTCACTACGAGTCAGCCACGACTTAATGCTCCAGCCTTCTCAGGGCCTGCTGTACAAATGAGTACACCCAGATACTTTAAGGACACAGAAAATGCTAGAGCGCAATTATTAAGTGGAAAAAGAAAAACCAAAACAAAAGTGTTTCGCACAGTCATGTTCTGTGAAATAGGGCATTTTGTGGTTTGAAATTTGGTCCTGCTTGTTCTGAAGCATGCGTCACAACCTAGCAGTGATCTGCAAGTTCTGTGAGCGACTGGGTGCCCCTCAACTCATGGTCATCGCCAGTTTTCCCACCTTCCTCTTGCATTTTTGTTAGCCTTCGATGGGGCTGAGTCTTTAACAGTTTGGAGAAGTTTTCCTTTGTTTCTGGAGATTAAGACTGGCAAGTGCAACATGCCAAAATCCTGAGCAAGAATACTCACTGGTTTTCCATCTTCTTGCTGTGCAATAGCCTTTGTTTCGCTTTCAGATCATTACATCTCTTTTGCCTTCTGCTGTTCTCACTAGCATTAATCCCACTGTGTTTGGAAGCCATGACGCACTTCAAGGTTAATATTTTTGAAAGAAACAGAGAGGCAGTGCAGCAACACTTAACAGATACAGGAGATTGGATGCTACTGCCTACGAGTTCAAGTACATGCTGTAACATAGTAAACTTTTTAGACAGAAATATGGTACATACATAAACCAGTCACATAACATCTATTATGACCATCTACCATTATACCTGGTAGCACCATTGGTTTGCACAGGAGACACGAGATAACACACATTTTGTGCTTGCATATGGAAAGCTATTGCTTTTTCTACACCCCATCAAAGGATCAGGATTTCTGAACTCATAACTTTATGCGCCCACAGATATAGGGGGGTGGGGAGGATTTCAAAAATTTCATGGGAAATTTGATTTAAAGACAATGGAATTTTCCATGAACTTTTTGAAGCCCCTGTATATACAGTCAGACATTTCCCCAACAGACATGATGTGGAGTATGAGTGGATATGATTTTTCCAAATATAGGCCCAGAAAAAAAATGAAAAAGAAGTTTATCAAGACACTAGCCATGGTTTATCTGAGAGGTGAGGTAGTAGATGATTTTTATTTTCTCCTTCTTGCTTTTTTATCATAAATAAATCTTCTTCCGAAACACGTGTTACTTTATAAAAGTACAAGAAATGTTGAGAGAGAAAGTCAACAGCCATGGCTACAAAAAGGAAGAAAATACTCCCAAGATGAAGGTGGTGATGACTGCACAATCCTTCTTAAATGACTGAACTACTGAACTGTATGATGTGTTCATGATGACTCAATCAAACTAACTGTAAGAGTAAAGAAACATTGAAGTTACTTTGGCGTGTATGAGGCTAAGGCAGTAATACTCCCCCTGTTCCTCTGTAATGCAATACATCTGTGGAAACAGCCCTCCCTGCAGAAAAACTGGTCTGCCCGTCTACCCACCTACGGGCTTGATTCAAAGCTGCGAGGTACTCTCCACCAGTCGAATGAAGTCTTCAAGTCTGGTAGAGACAGTACTTCTTATCACGAACTCTGAAAAAGCGGAGAGGGGATGAGACAGGTTCAATTTCTCTCATCAGAAGAAGGTTTAACAGAGAACAGAAGGGAGCTATAAAAGACAATGTACACCCACCCACCCTCAAAACCAAAGTGTGCTCCTGGGAGCTAAGGTCTTAACAGCAAGGCTTCCCCAGCAGGCCAAACTTCTAAACAAATGGCTGGCATCAATGGAAACGTCTCCTTACATTTGAGAGTCTACATGTGCCATCTCTTAAGTGTTTTTGATACATATGACATACTCTTGCTTTAAAGGAATCTTTTCCAAACCTGCAACTTAGGAACACTGATCAAAGGAAAGGTAGTGCGCACTCCTACCCTGCTCAAACATCAGGCTAATAGCTCAAAACAAAACCCAACTCATTGCCATTAAGTTCATGCCAACTCATAGCCACTCTATAGGACAAGGTAGAGCTGTCCCTGTGAGATTTTGAGACTGTGACTCTTCATGGGAGTAGAAAGCCCCATTGTTCTCCAGAAGAGCAGCTGGTGGTTTTGAACTGCTGATCTTGTGGTTAGCAGCCCAACTAGTAACCACGAGGTCACCAGGGCTCCTCAGGACCCATAGGAGGCACATTGAAAACATAAACATACGTTTTCTTCTTTTACAGAAAAGTAGAAAGGCCATTCTTTTTTAATGTCCTAAATAATCCCCAGATACGGTTATACTTTTGCCACTAACAGTAATTCCCTCTTAGAAAGTTTCTCTGTGCAAACCAACCAACCCACCCTCTGATCCATTGGTCATTCTTTTTCCACACTGTCCCTTCGGCTACTAAGCACTGGTTGGAAATACACCCCTAGTGTCTAGTCACAGCGTCGGTGGACTGTTGATTCTCCTTGTTGTCAACTTTGTTTTTGGCTTCTCCCCCACAGCAGACATAAAAACAGAAGTTTGGCCACGAATATTAAAACTCCTCACTCCTCCTTTCTCTCCCAGAAATTAAAAAAGAATTAGGGAAGAGGTCCAGGAAAGTTAAAAGAAAAAATGCAAGCATTCAAGAAAACACCTGAATACATCTGCACTCTGTATTCCCACAGTCCTAGTGCCAATCTGGGCACACGGGCCACCCTCAGAGGTCAAGTCATTGGTTGAATGAGCTGGAAGACACAGTAACCTTGACCCTAAGAGGGACAGCTTAAGACCAAACTGACACACCAAACGGTACTTACTCCAAACCAACAAGAGATACACCGCGTCTGGATGGAGAGTGGGTGTGATACAACAAGGCCAGACACAAGAATACCCTTATTAGGGTGGCATATACTCCAATTTACACACTGGATTAGTGAGAGGCCTTCCGAGGAAACTGCTGTCATAACATGATAAGGTAGAGCTGAACCAAACAAAGCACAAAACAGTGATGGAGTCCAACTAACAGGACCTATTTGGGGAATTCCTTAGTACTGAACTGCAAGAAGAGTCTAAGGAAGAAAATTAAATGCGATATCAAGAAAACAGAGGGCACGGTGACAATAGATGAGACCCAGAGAAAAATGAGAAATTGCAGAACAGAGTTCAAATTCTTAAGATGTTCAGACTTATTGGGCCTGTTGAGACTAAAGGACTCCCTGGGACTATGGCCCTGAGACAGAGTTGAACCAAAACCATCCTGAGGTCACTTTTTAGCAAAATAGACAGCTGGTAAAATAAAGTCCCTCTATGGGAGATTGCTACGGAGGCTGAAGCGGTAGGCTCAAGCATAGGGATGGTTGTCGAGGATGGCACTGCACCAAGGGTGTCATTCTGCTGTAGGCCGGTCATTTGCTGGGCGTCAGAACAGATTCACTGGGGCATCCAACAACAGCCCACAAGTCATGCTCCATGAAAAGCCAGTCCACGGGGACCAACAAATCAACACTTGCTCCAGAGCAGTGGTTCTCACCCTTCCTTAGGCCGCGACACTTTCATACAGTTCCTCGTGGTGGTGACTCCAACCATAACATTATTTTCGTTGCTACTTCATCACTGTCATTTTGCTACTGTTATGAATCGGGTGACCCCTGTGAAACGGTCGTTTGACCCCCAAAGGGGTCGAGGCCCACAGGTTGAGAACCGCTGCTCTAGAGAAAACAAGGGAACAGGAAAATGAGAACACAAAGCAGGCAACATAACCAGAACACAACTAATGAGGAGGGTGACCCATTGTGACAAATGTCCCTGAGCAATTTGTATGGAAATTGTCCAATGGGGACCTACTTTGCCATGCAAACTGTCACCAAAAACACAATTTCTAGAAAAGAAGGCAGGGCAAACCAGTTCTACAGTATCATATAGGCTGGACTCCACTTTTCCTTTCCCTCCAATCTGTAAATGCCATTTACAGACAGAAACAGACCTTGTCTCTAGAACTCAATACAAAGGAATGGAGGTACATAGGGCTGGGATTTGAAAAGAAAAATAATCAGCATGGGGCCAATTTCATAATGCAGACTTTGCCGAGACCAGGAACACTGGGTTTAACAGGAAGTTTCAGATTATATGGAAAAGAAGGCCTACAGAAATTAATAGAAAAGTGCATTTCTAAAGGCTGTCTTTCAATGGAGATGATTGTCCAGGCAAGACAGTGGAATAATACTCTTGGTGAGGCTCCAATGTCATTTGTGGATCATGTTTATGGTGAATCCAAGTTGGGAGGAAATGAAATCATCTCTTTCTTAAAAGGATGATTGATTCTTGTCGCTACTACATGAAAGAAGTGTTCATGTCTATTTATCATGTTCATTTCAATGAAAGCTTAAAAGAAGCCTTGTTGATGAGTTGTATAAAATGTTTTCTGAGAGCGTAAGTCATAAGGTAAGATGTATCTCGTAATTCTTTCCCTTGAAAAAAACACTGATATTTCAAACTTTGAAAATGAACAATTTCCTCCATTTTCATTGACATTTTACTGTCTTCTGATCTATAAGTAAATGCATATTATATTCTTTTGCATAAAAAAACTGCCAGCTATCCAATTTGGAGTACTCATGGAGACACTAGTGAACCGAGTGGACTTGCCCCAGAAGGGTCTCATCTTTAGGGGAGCAGATTCCCACAATGGGTTGAGGCTGCTCACCTTCCGTTAGCAGCCAGCGCTCTGGCCACCCAGCCCCCAAGGCCCCTGTAAATGCCATAGGACAGCAAAACTAGACAGGCATTGATGCCTAATGCACAGACACAAGAAAGGTAGGGCTGGGCTGGGCAAATGTCGCTAGGATAAAAAGCATTTAAAGCTCTAGGTAAAAAAACAGCTCCAAGTGGTACTGAACCCTCCCTCACAACATCCCATTTCTCTCTCTTTTATTTTATTTTTTTTCTTTTTTAACATTTTATTAGGGGCTCATACAACTGTTATCCCAATCCATACACACATCAATTGTGTAAAGCGCATTTGTACATCGTTTCTCAAAACATTTTCTCTCCATTTAAACCCCCGACATTAGGTCCTCATTTTTCCCCTCCCTCCCCGCTCCCCCCTCCCGCATGAGCCCTTGATAGTTTATAAATGGGTATTTTGTCATATCTCTCTTTTATATCTGACAAAACAGCCGTGAAATGTAGTCGTTCGTTCGTGACGTCTGGTTTTCTCCACTACAGGCCACACTTCTTGCGGCTGGGGCTACTATTTCTCCATTTAAATGGATTCATCCATTTCTCCAAACCTACCTGCATTGATTCCCAACCTCAGGTTCCCCTTTGAAACGGAGCTAAGAATGTCTCCTACTCCCAGGTCCCCACCCCTCCCGACTTGGCGCGATAATCACAGGAGAAAATGCCGGCAGAGAACTTAGTCCAGTCAATATTTAAGTTAGTTTACCTACAAGAATCACCTTTGCCACCGCAGTTATTAGCCTTCCCCAATTCTCTTCCTCCCTCACCGCCCCCCCACCCACCCATTTAAACCGCCAGCCCCTCCACCCACCACCCCCTTTACCTCCAGAGACACCCTTTGCCCTCGGTCCGGACAGAGCGAGGTCTAATACTGTGCTTCCCTTCGCGGGGGAACCCAGTCAAGAAGAAGAGGGAGGCCCGGAGCTCCCGGCAGCTCCGCTTGGGCGGCGTCCCCACAAAGCACCCGCCGCGGTAGAGCCGGCCTAGAGGCGCCAACACCCAGGGACGAGGAGTCGCCCTCCGGCTGCTCGAGAACCCGGGGAAGGAGCCGCGCCCCAGCCGCCGTCCCTTCCCGTCCCGCCGCTCACCTCGCCGGCCTCCGATCTGACAACCAAGCGGCCGCAAGGACCCGCCACGGGCCTCACTCAATACCGTTGAATATTTGAACCGAGGCGTTCTAGTCGAATGCGCCAATCAGAGGGCCGGAAACACACACTCACTACGTCCTGATTGGCCCGGGAGATCACGACGACACCGGAAGTCAGGGTGCGGGACTAGCAAACGCACCGGTCCTGGAGGCTTCTGGGAAATGTAATTTCTGACACTAGTGTGAGCCAATGAAAAACTACAAATCCCAGAATCCTCTGCTCCAAGCGTTGGAGAAAATGGTACTAATTGAAGAGATGGAAGCCGATTAAGCTAATAGAATGGCGCGTATCCTAGACCTCTCTAAAACTTCCAGGAAGGAAATATTTATTTCTATTATTCTCCTTGTGGCTGTGCGTTAGACCTTGAAGAAACACAAGAATTCGCTTAGTTTTATTGTGGAATGCATTGCTTGTAATATAAAGAAACCTGTGTCCCTTCCAATCGTAACAACTATCCTGTGCCCGTCCAGTTTATTGAACGTGTCAGGTGTGGTAGACGCTTTAAAGTCTGACATTCAACCGTGTTGTGGAAGAGAAAACAGATTTAGAGAAGTCTAAAATCACATAAGTGGAGATGAGATTTGTCATAACTCAGAATCCACTAGATGACAACTGATTGACTGGGGTCCTTACTTGACATCAGCAATTCATTAGAAGACAATATGAGTTGGAATCCACTTGGGGGCAGTGGGTTTGGTTTGAGTGAGTTATAAGATTGTCCTGTTTTTAAAGTATTATTCAATGAAACATAAGGATGCAATCTAGAAAAATGCAGACAGGGTTTGGGTTCCTAGTGCAGTGCCTAACCACTTGGAAGGAGTACAGAGACCATATTCTCTCATGTATTCCATCAATCTTTACAATATATCTATGTCTCCATGTCCTTTCTTAGTTAAAAACAAAAAAACCTAGAGTCTCATCTTTAGTGTCCTTCACAGACAGATACACATTTACAGTCAACCTCCTTTGTCACCACTCCTGTCTCAACCATCACCTTCTTTACCTAGGACATATCATGGGCTTTTGCTTCTGATGATGGACAAAGGTTGACTCTCTTTCTGGGACAGCCCAGGAGATCCCACACCTCTGGGCAGGGGTAATCTTTACTCTGCTGGACTCCCAAAGCACACTGAAAACCACTTGTTGGGTAGTTGATTCCAGCTCCTGGTGACCCTAGATAGCTCAGACTAGAACTACCCTCCATAAGGTTTTCAGTGGTGGATCACCATTAAAGTTGATCACCACGCCTTTCTTGCAAGATGGCTTTGAGAGGATGCAAGCCTCCAACCCTTCCCTGAGCAGCTGAGTTTGTTAACCATTTACACCACCCAAAATGACACTTGCAACACAGAAAATATTATGACTCCGCGGGTGGTTTAAGCCTGAGAAGGCCATGTCCTGCCCCAACAGAAAAGCCTCCTATGGAACAGAGTGGAAAGTTCAGAAATTATCCCCCAACATTCTAGAACGTAGTCTATGATCACAGAATATTTCAAAGGAAAGAGGAGAAGATGATGGGATTCTATACATTGTATTGACAACTAATTGAGTAGTTATTTGGGGGAAGGAGATCAGAATTCTTACTCAAACCTTATACCAACACAAATTTAGGATGATGAGAAGGTAAATGTAAACTATGTAGCCAGGTAAAGCTTTAAAAGCATGTAGAATTATTTTTATAAAATTGAACTGGAGAAGGCCTTCCTAAGTATAACCAAGAAACCCCAAGGAAAAGTTGGATAAAACACATAGAAATTAAATGGTTTTCTCGTGGTAATAAACAAAACAAAAAAGCAGAAGAAATATTTACAAATCAGGTGTATAAGGAGAAAAAGAATAAAAATCCCTGTAAGTTGAGGAAGGGAAAATTCAGCAGAAAGACCAACAGAAAAGGAGGCGGATGATGTATATAAACAAAGAAGTCACTAAAGCATATCCCAAAAAAAGTTCTTCAAGAAGAAAAGGAGCTCAATTTCACTCCTCACCAAAGAACTGAAAAACAAACGTGCCTCTCACTTTTTACCCGACCAATTTTCAAGGATCCAAATGTTCGGTCACAGACTGTGTAGATCAGGCTGAGAGGAAATGGGCATTCTCGTCCCTTACTATGGGACAGGAAACGTACCGCTGCTACATAAACCAGTATGCCAACCTCCACGACAGACACCCACATGCATGCATTTACCCAGCAATTCACTTCCAGCGATGTACCTTGCAGATAAACTCCTACATATGCAGAATAATGAATGGACAAATTATTGCCTTACCATCTGTAACAAGGAAAACTTAGCATCTACCGAAATGTTCCCAAGTAGGAGGCAGAGCCAGTAAATTATGGTGGTCTTTCTAAAGTTGTGCATTAACTTAAAAACTTGAGGCAGCTTCAAATTGTAGAGCTGGGGCTGGGCGGGGAGGTGAGGAGGAAGCAAGTGTATAAGTATTTATAACGAGGTGTTGTAGGCGCCCTGGTGGTGTAGTAGTTACACATTGGGCTGCTAACTGCAAGTTCAGCAGTTCAAAACCACCATATTCCACGTGTGAGAAAGATGAGGCTTTCTGCCCTGGTAGATTTACAGCCTGGGAAGCCCTCAGAGCAGTTTTACCCTGTCCTAAAAGGTCATTCTGAGCCTTAGTCAATTCATGGCAGTGAGGTTTTTAAACTTTTTTTTTTTTTAAGTTAAACCTGGAGAGAAATATTTAAACCTACATGCTGTGACTCTTGCAACCTTCGCTGAAAGGCTACCTGCGAAAGGGTGATGATCTCTGTACGGGGAACTGGGCCTTGAAAAGCAGGAATGAGAACAGGGGTTTTGTTTTCACTTCTTTCATATACTTTTCATATTCAATGTCCTTATACACCTGTACTAAATCAATGAAATGAACACAAAACATCCGTCTGCGCTGAGAATCAATTCCAACTCACCTTTAATCACATTACACTACTTCTCATTCAGCTTGAGGCACACGCCAAGATCTTTCTACCTCAGGACATTTGCAATGCCGCCCTTCTACCTAGGTGGCTGTTCCCAGAGCTCACTCTCTAAGCTGACATTCTCTTATCCTTCAAGTCTTAAGTTCAATGTCATCTCTTCAAAGAGGTGATCCGCTCCCTGGATCCCTCATACAAGTAATCATGAATAAATGTCTCTCCCCTGACTATTCTAAAGCAATAAATCACAATATTCTGATTGTTTTCTTCCTAGTACTCGTTACTAATTAGTTATTTACTTTCTTTCTCCACCTCTCTAGATTGTCTGCAGGAAAACACAGTATTTGTGGGCTACATTTTAAACAGCACATATTATGGTATGTACACTGTTGTCTGCACTTTGCAAATACCAACTCTCTTAATCCTCACAAGAACCCATTTCACAGGTGAAGAAACTGAGGCACAGAGCAATTGAGTAAATTGTCCAATGGACCGAGTTGTCGTCCCAAAGAGAATGTTCTCAAGTCACACCTGTTGACAGTAAGGCACATGAGGTGCACAGCACTCCTATAGGACAGAGTCAAACTGTCCCCATGGGGTTTTTAATAAGGTGACCAGACGTCCCGATTTTGACAATTTTTCCTGCGTCCTACGGCATTTTTAAAAAGTCCCGATTTTTGGAAAGAATGCTCGACAAGCTAGGGTATACGGTTTTCGGCTGCCATGAGGCTATTTCACCAGGATATGAGTTTTATCAATGGTGTCCCGCTTTTGTCCCGCTTTACCAATGTTAAAATCTGGTCACCTTAGTTTTTAAGGGTGTAAATCTCTCATTGTAGGCATTTTTTAAGGGTTTTATTTTAATAGGTCTGGAGACATTTTTGTTTTCATTTCGGTGAACGTTTACAGAACAAACTTGTTTTCAACAATTTGTTAATTTTGTTACACCACATTGGTTGCAATCCCCGCAATGTAACAGCATTCTTCCTACTTCCCCCCTAGGCTCCATTTTTATTTTTTTCCTTCCCTGCCTTCTAAACTGTTTTCTAGCAAAAACTGCCCTTTTGGTCTCCTACAGTTGGTTGTACTAAGCAGTACATTTCTCCCCGATGTTATCATTCACTTTATAGGCCTGTGTATTGTTTGGCTGACGGCTGATCCCACGTATGGGTTCCATTCCAGCCTTGAAGGGGATCTAAAGGCCATAAGTCTCAGGGTTCCATCAGTAGTCGTTAGACCAGTAGGTCTGGTTTTGTTTATTATTTTTTATTTTGTTCTGAGTTTTCTTCTCCCTCTGCCCAGGCGTTTCTATTGTGATTCTGATCAGAGCAGTCAGTAGGAATAGCCAGACATCATCTACTTCTCCTGGTCTCAAGGTAGTGGCAGCTGTGACTAAAGTAATTATTTCTTGGAGTCTTTGATTTGTCTTCTCTCTTCTTTGCTCCAGGTGGAAAGTGGGCAATGGTTGGATCTTAAACGGCTGCTTGCAAGCTCGCTATTCATTAAAGTAAGATGTAGCGTTTTCTTCTTGGGGACTCCATCATAAGGCTGTAAATTTTTTGTGGAAGCCGACTGCCATATATTTTTCTCCCGAAGAACAGCAAGATAGCTGGTGAGCTGGAATCCTCGACCTTCCGGTGCTTAGTTGTTGCAGAACCCAGGCTTCTACTCGCAGCCACCATGAGATGCTTTCTCCATACAAATTACTGGCTTGATGAAAGAGACGAATGAATGAACTAAACCTTAGCTGTCAATTATTTATGTCTCCAAATCCCCCCAGAGATTCCGCAAGGGGGCGCTCTCCCCCAGGCCTTGACGCTAGCTACTTACGGCGCGCGCTCCCTTTGCGTCTCGGGCTCGCGCGCGCTGCCGCAGAACCGGAAGTGACTGAGCTTGCAAGTTCCCCGGTCTCTTCAGGGGAAACTGAGGCCGGCTTGTTCGGAAGAGACGACGAGAGCAGTCAGCCAGGTAGGCCGGCCCTGGTCCGCGGCGCGGAAGTCGGCCGCGAAGAGCTCCCGCGTCTGCCAACTACGGGGCCCAAGGAGGGGGATGTGGCCCCCCACGGCTCGCGGGGCTCGCAGGTGAGCGCGCCGCCTCCCCTGTGCGTGACAGGCGCTGCGCCCAATGGGAGCTCTCGCCGTCCCGCTTCCGTGCCTGTTGGGCTCGTTGATTGGCTACACTTGAGCGGGCCGCCGGGGGCAAGACCCCTCCTCCCCGAAAGGTCTGAGTGGGGGGGAGCCCCGGAGGAAAGGAGGTTGCCTAGCAACGGGGCGGTGGCCCGGCGGGTACCCGGCCTAGCGTGCCCGCGAAGGCGCGAGGCCGCAGCCGACACTCACTCCCGGCTTTGGAGGTCCAGCCCCGGGCCCCTGAGCCCGTCCGGGGGCGTCAGGAAGCCGCCTTGGGCCCGTCCCTGGGATAACGTGCTCTCGGCGTGTGGGGGGCCTCGAACGGCCTTCGACCCCACTTCCTGACCCGAGGCGAGGCCGGGCGCCTCACCCTCACCCGGTCTTTGTGCCGGGCGCCGGCGGCCATTGTGTCCGGGTGGGGGATGGAGGACCGGGCGCTCCCCCATTGCCACTGCCACGTCCACTGGGGAATTCAGAGAAAACCGGCGGCGTTTGTGGGGGGAGCCTGGCCGTCAGCCTTCCGGAAAGGGCCGGGGATGGCCTTTCGGAAGCCACATCGCCCATCCGAGGCCGCTTCCTCAGCCTTCCTCCTCCCCCCGAAACCTTGAGCCCCATTCAGAAGTCCCTGCAGGGTTTCGGAAGCCTCGCCCTGAGCTGGTCCTTTAAAAAACAGAAAGAAAGAAAAGGCCGGCCGCGGCGGCCGGGAGTTCTCCCGGCTCCCTGTAGGAGGCGGAGAGCCAGCGCCAAGGGGCGTGCAAGCGCGAGGGGGCTGGGCTCCCGGCTGGTAGGAGGCCGCCACTGCCCGAGCGGCCGCCCTCGATCCCGGCGATGGAGGAGGAAGCCAGCGAGGGGGCCGGCTCCTGAGCGGCGCGGTTCCGGTGTCGCCCGCGGGGCTCCCAGCCAGCCGGGTCGCATGAGCCCTCCGGCCGGGGCTGTTTTTATTGCCAGCCGTCGCGAGGCCGGCTGAGTTACCGGCATCCCGGCCGCCGCCGCCGCCGCCTCTGGCGACCTATGATACAAAAGATCTACCGGGGGCTGCACCTGCCCGCCGCCGGCAGCCGCCGGAGACGGATTTGAATGTAGGTGGTGGTGTAGGGGGACTGCCCGCCCGCCCGCCCGGGGTGACTTTCCGAGGAAGGGCTTTTCGGAGAAAAGGGCGGGGGTGGGAGGGCTGGAATGAAGAGAGGCCAGTGTGATGTTGCAGAGCCCGTGGGGGCGGGAGGGGGAGGAGGAGGCTTTCGATTTGACTTTTGTGGAAGTCTCGGCGAAGCGAGAGCCAGACCTTACATAAGAGCCGCCGCACTGTCCGCTCCGGTACCTGGCGGGGAAATGGGATGATGCTGGAGGGTAGATGGCAGACGGACTCATTTTGTTTTCCTTTCCCCAGAAGCTCGGTCGCTCCCTTCGGAACCTTATCTTGCCTTTGGATCTCAGCAGAGAACCACTAAGCGGAAAGCAGCCGCAGTGAGAGAGAGCAGGTGTTTTGGACAATGGACAGGTGGAGCTCATCCCTATTATAAAAAAAAAAAAAATGTCTCAGAACAACCGGGAGCTGGTGGTGGACTTTCTGTCCTACAAGCTCTCCCAGAAAGGATACAATTGGAGTCAGTTCAGTGATGTGGAGGAGAACAGGACTGGGGCCTCTGAAGGGCCTGAAGCAGAGCTGGAGACCCCCAGTGCCCTCAATGGCAACCCCTCCTGGCGCCGGGCAGACAGCCCTGCGGTGAATGGAGCCACTGGCCACAGCAGCAGCCTGGATGCCCGGGAGGTGATCCCCATGACCTCCGTGAAACAAGCTCTGCGGGAGGCCGGCGATGAGTTTGAACTGCGCTACCGGCGGGCATTCAGTGACCTGACGTCCCAGCTCCACATCACCCCAGGGACAGCGTATCAGAGCTTTGAGCAGGTAGTGAATGAACTCTTCCGGGATGGGGTGAACTGGGGTCGCATCGTGGCCTTTTTCTCCTTCGGTGGGGCACTGTGCGTGGAAAGCGTAGACAAGGAGATGCAGGTATTGGTGAGTCGGATCGCAACTTGGATGGCTACTTATCTGAATGACCACCTAGAGCCTTGGATCCAGGAGAACGGCGGCTGGGTAAGGACCACGCCCCTTGTAGGTCCCCATTGCTTTTCTGCTGTTTTTCCCTTGGGGGTGGGGGTTGTGATCCTTGGAGAGTTGACTCCTGAGAGGTGACGGCCCCGAGTCACCACAAGGGGTTAACTGTGAGGCAATCCAGTTGACCCAGTTCTTGAAGGACCTGGCATCTTTCATTCTGGTCACCTTCTTGACCCTACTCTTGCAGACTGGTGCTCCAGTTTCTTTGCAAAGGAAAACACAGCCTCTGTGTTCATTCAGCTCAAAGCCCCAGAGTGTGAGAAGTTAGTCCAGTGTTTCCTCACCCCGACACCATGCTCCACCACCCAAAGGGGTGATGAGTGAGCAGGAGAGTGTGAGCGTCTGTGACCCTCAAACACCACCCCCACCCCCCACACATATACCTACATATATACATCTTTTCTCCCCGGCCAGAAGTTCCCACCTGCGTCTGGAATGACTGAGGAGAGGCTGATATTCAGGTCGTGGAGGCTGGACCAGCCTGCGGCGTTTGCCCCTAAGTGTGCAGCTTTCTGCATGGTTGGCCTGTTTGCAGAGCCCTTGCTGTGTCACACATTAAGCCCGGGACTTTGCACTTGACTGCCTGGGGTCGGTTGGGGAGCTCCAGCTGTTCTGCCTGTTGCTTTCTGGCCAGAGTTCTGGGGCCCCTTCACTGAGCTCAGCTGGCAAAGCAAGAACCCAGTCTGGGGGTTTCTGGGGGGCATTGAGATTTGGTGACAAGCTCTGGAATCAAACTGACACGGAGGTGAGGCCCAGCCGTCATTTAAGTAGCTGTGAGGCCTTGGACAGGCCATGGGACCTTCTTGAGCCTCAGTTTGTCTCCCTGAAGAAAGGACAACAAGCCTGCTTTGCCTTGCAGCGTGTTGTAAACCTTGGGAGGAAGGGAATGCAGTGCCTTAAGGCCAGCCAGTTGAGTCAAGTGGTTCTTATGGGTCCCAGGCACATTCAGGGCCCAGAGTGAGCCCTTAGCCCTGCCCCAGGGATCCCCCCTGGCGATCAGGATGAGGTGCTGGTGAGAGCGTCTATATTTCAAGTGGCCAGTCTAGGTTCTCCACTGTGAACACAGCCTAGAGGAGGTCCTGGCCTCCCGTGGCCCTGCTGCCCCCTCAACTCCAGGCAATTGAGCAGGCTGGGGAAATAAGTCATCTATTGAAGGAGTCGATGTGGAAAAGGCCATGCCCGTGGACTCTGGGAATGCCAGGAATGTAGTTGTCTGTCGGCCAGGCCCAGGGCGTGGCTGCCTCTTCATTCTGCCACTGAGTAAGCACCCTCCCCCAGCTTGCCCTGGATCCCCGCCCCCCTCGCTCTCATTTCCCATTTCTCTGCAACTTCATCAGCTCTTCCCTTCGCCAGCTCTGATAAAAGGCCCTGGGATGGAGTCGATGACGGGCAGCTGTCGGGGCTTTAGCGGTGGAGAGGCTAGAAGTAGACAGCTCCCTGGAGCTGAGGCTGAGCGGACTTGAAAGCCATTCTGTCAGTGAACTCCCCTGGGAGGATAAATGATTAAATAGTTCCTGTAGGTTTGTGCAGTGACCTCTCCTATTTCCCTTCTCTTTGGGGGCAAGTATATGTCCAGCTGATTAGAGGAGGGACTGGATTCCAAAGCTTCAGACACACCCTCTGAGCCTGAGGCATCCAAGATGGGTCTTGGGCCATCTGCCCACTTTGTCTGACTGTGGCCATGGTCCTAACACCAGGTGGGTCGTTGCCAGCTCTACACAAAGGCTGTCTGGGAGAGGCACTCAGTCTGCCAGCCAGCTCCTACAGGGGGCCACCCTGACCAGAGGATTGCCAGCTGCCCAGTTTTGTCCAGGGAAAGAGCTCTGGGACCCAGCAGCCGTGGGCAGGTTCATCAGTTCTCCACTAGAGTGAAATTCTACTTTCCTTCTCTTTGTTCAAAAATTACCAGAGCCCGTTGGACAACATACCGCATGTCACTTCCTCCTGGTGAACAGAAGAGGTGTGTGCAGAAGAGCCAGTTATTTCAGGGCTGTTTCTGGGCACACATTCTCCCCGAGGCCAGGGGGTAAAGAACATTTGATTCCGGCCCCTTTGAGCCTGACTAGAAGGTGCTCTCCCACTTCCTTCTCAGCCACCATCCTGTTCTGAGCCAGCTCAGTCTGGCCACCAAGATGACATCTCTTAACCTTTCCAGAGGCTGAGGCTGGGATGTTCTTGAGGGGGGAGTTACGGGCCAGTTCATCCTGAGGTATGCGTTCAGTATTCATGGAGGTTATGTTGAACAATGTTTGTAGGCAATGGGGAGAAAATTGGGTTTTTCTAAGTACTTATTAAGCATTGTGTTGGCTGTACTTATGTAGCAGATATACCTTGAGCATCATGCAGGCACTATTCTAGGTGCAAGCCAGATATAATACATTCCCTTGTGGGCCCGTGTACCATTTCAGATATTCCACACAATAGCTTTGCACACTGTCTTAGCTAGTGGTGCAATGATAGAAATCCTACAAGTCCAGTGGCTTTGGTGAACAGAAATGTATTCTCTCAGGAAGTGGGAAATGAAGTCAGGTGTCAGGTCTAGAGGGGAAGCTCTCTCTCTGTGTCAGGCCTGGGTCCTTGTCGCTCCAGCTTCCAGATCCTTGGAGATATTCATGTGTCTTGGCATCTGCCTTTCCCCACATCTGCCTCTTTTGCTTGCTCATTGAATCTGCTTCGTATCTCCAAAGAGATGGATTCCAGACACACCCTACACTAACTCCTGCCTCCTTGACATAACAAGGACAGCCCATTGTCATGGAAGCTAGGAGTCACAGCACACATTATAGGGTGACACAATTCAGTCTGTAGCACCGTCAATGGTTTTCCTTCTGTTTTTACATCTGAAGCTCCTAATGACTTAAGAGGCCCCAGGTGTCCCTCAGCCAGTTAAACGGCTGAGTGATTCCGAAAACTAAACTCTCCCTCCACATCAACTTGTCCAAGGGAGAAGCAAGCAACCCAGACCAATTGGCACAGAAAGCCAGCGAGGCTTTTGGGGCCAAGCAAAACATGCCTGTGACAGTGCTTATTCTCTGGGCTGTGGTCCTAACATTGTTCAAGTAGCTGCTCGAGGAATGGTAGCAGGTTCCCAGAGGCGTGTGAGTAGGCTCAGCTTCTGGCCCTGGTAAAACTCAGGCACTGCCAGTATCCCAGTGGAAATCGGGGGTTTGCCCAGTCAGAATGGGCTTCTTGTCCCCTGTTTTCCTGGTTAAAGTCCTGTCAGTGATGTGTCTGTGGGGAGGAGGTGACCTGCCCCAGGTCTTGCTGCTTAATTGGGGGGATAAAGCTTCATGGGCTGGAACTCTAGACTCTCAGCCACACCTCCACCTTCCTGGAGTCACCTGGCGAGATGCTGAACCTGTTCATCTGTTTTGTCCATCCTCTCTCCCACCTATAAAGTGGAATAATGGTAGCCAGCCACAGGGCTGGACTCCAGTAAAGGACCTAGAACAAAAGCCCCTGCTGTGCCTTAATTGTAGAGTGGGAGCATCTCTTTTAATGGCATGGGCTGCCTCCCTCAGGGCCCTGAACTTTGTCTCCTGGAGAAGCAGAGCTAGCCCCTAGAATGGATGCAGGGTGATGGCGTGACCTTCCCTGAGAACAGAGAAGTGTTTCTGGTGCTTTCCAGGGGGAGTGTCGACAGTTGAAGGGCGAGGACTAGGTGGGCCTTCGGAGATAGCTGCCCAGGGAGAATCCCTCAGCCTGATGGAAACACCGTCCTTGAAGCAATGGACAGTGTGGATAAGGAGAAACCTCACTTGACCTTGTCCTGTAGCTCCTGCAGGTCTCCTCTTGCGTCATCTGGCTCGTCAGTGTGCATGATTGACTGCTTAGCTCAAACACCTCAGCTCACTTTGCAGATATTTAGCAGCTGTTGGCAGTTCTGCGGTTTTCTTGGGGAAACCCCATTAGAAACCCCAAACATGGAAATTTTTAGTAATCTCATTCAAGTCCCCAAATGAGGTGGAAGTGTCTCAGGGTCTCCCCCTCGGAACCCCCGTTTCTTCTCGGTGTTTGGTGTTTTAGAGGGCTCAGGAAAGTCAGCACCACAGGCTTTTCCACCCTCCCTGGGACTAATTTCCCCAGGAGCCTCGTAGAGCCCTTCAGCTTTGGGTTGAAAATTACCCAGGTGTTTTTTCAGGGGGCCCCATTGGACAGTGGAGGGTTTTCTTGACTTTGCATGGGCAAACCACCCGCGGTCCCTTCCTTCAGCAGGTATCTGCCCTGAGCCCAATGGACTTACGTGTCCCTCTCTGTGCACTCTCTCTCTCGTTTTCCCAGTGCTCTCAGCCTTCCATCCTGGGCTTTCCGTAAGCAACTGTGGTATTTCCCCGTAAGCTACTCTTCTAAAGAAACATAATCTGCTACCTTAATTAGCAGTGCTCCTGTTCCCATCCCAATCTCCAACCTAATGCCACGGAGCCCTCCCTCCCTGAGCACTCCTCCTCTTGTCTTTGAAGAAACCACTGTGCTCCTAGATCCTCTGCCCTTCTCTCCCTCCAGCCAACTGTCCGTCTGTCTTTCCATTCCCAAGTGTCACGTCAGAGGCAGACAGCTCACTGGCTTAGCCCGAGGACGAGAAGACCCATGAAAATATGCTCTGACTTCAAATAGCTGAAGAAGGACTAAGCCCCGCCCCCCCTTCCCCACCCTGTGTGTAGTACCCAGAAAAACCTGTATAAATGAGAGGAAGTTAACAGTGGTGGGGTTTGAATTAGTGTAAAGGAGACGTTTCTGACAGAGTCATCTGTCAGGTTTAGGAGTTTCCTGAGGGAAGAGTCCACATCCTG